GCAGTTGCTAGAGACATACCACTATTGAGACGACTCCGCACAAAAAACAAAAAAAAAATTAAGTTGGATCTGATAAGTCTGGATGGTTACAAAAATTATGTTTGTTTCGGTGTCTTTTTCTTAGTTGGCAACGACTATGACATATAGCAGTTGCTAGAGACATACCACTATTGAGACGACTCCGCACAAAAAACAAAAAAAAAATTAAGTTGGATCCGATAAGTCTGAATAGTTACAAAAAATATGTTTGAATCGGTGTCTTTTTCTTAGTTGGCAACGAGTATGATCTATAGCAATTGCTAGAGAATATGCATTAAAGAAACAAACTTATAGAATGACCTCAATTGATATCCTTATATAAAATAAATAAAATATTTTTATTTTCAATATAAAACATAATTCAACGTGTTTTATTATTATAACGAAACACAATCATTTTTAGTTAATAATGAACACCTGCACTTATTAAGTGTTCATTATCTAAACATATGTATTATAAAGCAGCAAATAAAACTTTGAACTAATTTTTCAAACATCCCTCGTACACTAGTTATTTCCACACTTGTAAATATATTACAATTATTTGTGGAATATAATTTTAATGTGTGTCCATTTACGAATACGTCGTCTGTCTGTCTGTCTGTCTTTCTTTCTTTGTGTTTTTATGTGCTTTTCTATACAAACAAATATTTTTGGTTAATCTGCTTGTTAAATTTAATATCTGTCTGTCTGTCTGTCTGTCTAGGTTTGGCCTTACGTTAAGCTTTGTTTATGAAATTCGTGTTACTGGTACTGATTTATTATTTTATCACATTGTTTACTCAACAGTGAGGAACTTAGCGATGACAAATATAATAATTAAGTGTACAAAATTATTTTGCTAAGTTTTTTTTTTTTGTATACAATATCTACATTAACATTCCATTGCAAAAAGTATACATACATACCTACCTACCTAATCATGCATATGTGCTAAGTGTTTAAATCTTTAAAACTACGAGTGTTGTACTCTGGGGGACATGGGACATATTCTGGGGGACAACACTTCCAAAACAAATTTTATTGTAGTCATGCTAAAATTTCATGTTTGAAGTACAAAATTATATGATTTCTAAACATTAAAAACATTAAAGTTTAAAGTTTTTAAGGTTGTTTTTGTCACTTGTGCGATTAACGATTTCTTGTTATTTTGTACTTAACAATTATATTCAGTACTCGCTCGTATCAATATTAGATATGCTAACTCAACATGCAATACAATAAGTTTTCGTATGCTCGTATGTATGTCAGTTTGTGTGTAGATACAATGCGGCGAATAAAGCTGCCCCGCCGATATAAAAAGTGGAACAGAACACGAGTCAAACATTTACACATACTTGAGTAAAAAATTTTGTAAATTAAATTGTTTGTTTATGACTCACAAGTTTGATATTTCACACAAAACGTACAGAACAAAAAAATTATATGTGCTTATTTACACATATATACATATATACAAATATATACAAATATACAAATATATAAAAATTTAAAAAATATATGCTATTAAGTAATACGCATGAGTTTGGGCGTATCAGTAAGTGTGGCTATAATTTAGATCAAATTTACGAAACCCAATGCATATGTACGAATATGCTTTCGATGAGTTTGTAAATTAGTCAGCCATAGATTAGATTTTTATCTATGAGCTTAAAGTGAACAAAAGATTGTAGTTTAAAAATTTTAGTTTTTACACACATTTTCTGTAGCACATTTCATAAAATATGTTAAAGATAACACAATAATTTACCAATTGATTTATTTCATAATGTCATAAATACTAAATGATACACTCTAATTTAAAATCAATATAAACAATACTATAAATATTTAATTCAGTATGATTGTATAATGTAAATATATATATATATTTCTAAATAAATTTCAAGACATTTTCATTTATTTATTTTTTTTTGTTTAATTAACTATAGCAAATATCCAGTATTTATATAGAATTTCAGTATAGAAGGACAATGATGATATAACAAAACATATAACAAAACCAGATTTATCTATATTTTACTATATAATTTGTTGGTCAATGTTTTTTTATTATGAAATGGACTTTATTTCTTGATCTCCGACTTCATTTGTCTAAAGCAATATTAAAAAAATTTCTTACATATCTATATACAACTGTTATTTATATGTGTTATCTCTATCTGTTATCTATATCTGTTGTCCTTATCTGTTAACTGTATCTGTTATCTATACTTGTTATCTATATATATCTATATATGTATATATTTATATCTATATACATATATCTATATATATATATATATTATATCTATAAATATATATTATATCTTATACATATATCTATATTCTTATAATGGTATATATCCATTATAGTATATATCTTCTCATCAAAAAAAAACGAGAGGCCTATTTTTGAATTCTCGCGCTTATCCAATCGGTAAATTTTTTTTATTTTCACGCTGGCAACACTATTATACACATTCTGTCAAAGTTTAACGCATATCATACGATTAGTTTTTGTTTGGCGTCTATACAAAAGTCGAAAAATTTTCGTGTGGCGATTTTTACCTTATGGCCTCTATGATCTCAAAATTTGATCTCCAATATACCGATTGGATAAGCGCTGGAATTTTAAAAATTAAAATTCTGGTTCCTTTTTGATCACAAGGTACATACTTATACTTTTAGCATATACATACTCGATAATAAATTATATAATTTTCTGGTTTTATAATGTATATCACTAATCGAAATTCTATACTACTCAAGGAGCTAAAAAAATAAATGTTGATGTCACATATATATGTAAATGTTATGCTCATGTCCATGTGTAAGAACTGCGGCAAATAGGGTAGGGTTGGTGTAAAAACACACTTTAAAAAAGATTTCTAAAACATGCAAGGTGACTCTGTCTTACTAATAGACCTATGAGCATTTTGTTGGGCTTATTGAACGTAGAAAATGTGAACGAAAGAGCGCAGAAAAAGTTATTAGTCAACACAAAGTACACATAAAGCAAAACAGCATGAAAATGCAAACAACACAAGTTCAATCCGATCACTAAATGCATTGCACACAGAGGAATGTAATTGTACAATAATTGTATTAACTGATATAAGATTTATTTTATGTTAATATCAAGAAATTAAAATTCAATTCTTATTTTAATTCACTAATTTTTGTGATGAGTTTTTAAGTTGTTCGAACAGGTGGAAAATGATGGAAAATGATTTCCAAAACCATATGCTGTATTCTTGCGAAAATTTGTAATATTGATGCGGTTTTTGGTGGTCTTCATTTAGATCGGCTTTAAGTGTTATACAACTATCCACATAAAAACCATTGTTGCTGAAAAAGTAGATAAAATAGATGAATTTTTTGAGAGTTGAATATTTTAAAAATATAATATATTTGTTTATTGAGCGTTTTCCCAAATGTAGAAATTTATTACTTATACTCACATTTTGAGTTCACTTAAATTCTAATTCTAGGATTTTCTAGTTAGAAATAGAATTAGTTCTAGTTAGTTTTATAGTTATAGTTTATATTAATATAGGATTACTTCTCTTACCATTCTTTCTTTTATTAGAGATATATCCATAATAATTCACTTTCCGTTTTGATTTTTAAATAAAGACAATTGTGTATCCGTTGGTGCCTGTTAAATTTAAAATAGATATAGTAATTTGTAAGAGATCTACTTTAAGATGGCTTAGATGAAAATCATTTTTAAGAAAAGCATTCTACAAGCATTTCGTAATACACATATACCTGGAAGGTTTTCTGTTTGATATTTATATATATATATATGTATCTATATATATATGGTTAAATAAAATATTTGCAGTGTTCTTTAGGTTCAAATAAGTTAAAACATCTATTATTATTATTATTATTATTAAATAGGCTATTTGTGCACCCCGATGTAAAAGATCTATTGTGCGCCTATAGGCCCAACTAGGACAATTTTAGACTATTTATAAATCTTATAATTGCAGTGGGCTTAATTTTACCTATTTGATTTGGGACCAGGATCCCGCTACCAAGGTAATCGAGTCTACGTCTTGCCACCGCTTGGCAGTTGCATAGAACATGTTCTGATGTTTCCTTCTCCTCATGACAGAGTTGACAGGAATCACTTTCTACCTCAAGTGTTGTGAAGCCAACAACACGCGGTGTTCCCAAGCGGTCCCCCATCTAAGTACTAACCGCGCCCGACGCTGCTTAATTTCGGTGATCGGACGAGAACCGATGTATTCAACGTGGTATGGTCGTTGGCTAAAACATCTAAATACAAAACATGTATTTTGAAACAAAATTATAACAAACATATTGTATTTATAAAAGTTAAAAGTATGGAAATACCACTAATAATATTTATACTTTATTATATGTATACTTTCTTAAAGGAACTGTACTGTCGTGCCATGAAACACCATGAGTCTCATATAAAGTATGAGTATAGCTTACTCATACTTTGCATTTATGTTCTATAAATAAAAAAGTATTTCATTTCAGTATTTAATCATAATTGCAGTGTGAACAAAGGTTTCACCAAATAGTCATAGTCGGTTGATTTGTTTAGTATGTGACAGTTTGTGGTGTAGTGCGAAAAATGTGGGTTGGATTTTAAGTCAGGGTTTTGATCTGCATAACTTGCAGAAAAATAATTTTATCGCACATTTAATCTTAACTAATAATAAACTTAATTATATATTATTATATATTAAATGTTAATTTGTATTTTTTATTTTATTTTCAGATATTGTCAACTATTTTTCTTAATACTCAACTGTCAAGAAAAGTGTGAAGTAATTTACTATAAAAGATTATTGCTATTCCGTAGTGATAATATTGTATACATAAAAAATATAGTATTTTTTTGTAAAATAAATATAAAACGTACACATATTTACACGGTGTATCTAAAGTGTTCCATAATGCAAATTAAGTGTTTTATACTTCTAAAGAATTCGCAAGTGATAATAAAAAAAAACGAATACAAAAATACACAACATAAATTCACTACTTATCTTGATTCAAATATTTTACTTTGAGCTAACTAGATTATAATACGTAAAGAAATACAGAGACGCAAAACAAAAAAAAAAAAGAAAATAATAGAAAAGAAAAAAAGATATAATATAAAATTCTTACGTCGCGGATTTGTATAATTTATATATTTATATTTGTTTAATTCGATTGTGATATGACTACTAAGTATCGCAAGAATGCATTCAGCGGGCGAAAAAAGGGGTCGCTCCAATAATAAATATACAACAGAGGCGCTCGAAAGTATCAAACAGGATCTTACGCGCTTTCAAGTACCAAAACCTGGATTACAGGTAAGAGAGAAATATAAATTTAATTTTAATAAATTAATATAATCGTAGAATTTCATTATAAACGATATTGAACATTTTTAATATTATTATAGTTTATGTATATTACTTAATAACATTACCTTTAATAAATTAATTAAGTATGTTATCTAATCTGATGGCGGGGTCCTTTGATAAATCTGAAGTAATTTCTTCAATCGAGATGCTGAAAGAACCCTCTTTTAGTGCAATTTTCATTTTTGATTGTTAATTCTGGGGCAAAATGTATAACACTCGAGATTAATTTATAACCCTCTAGATATTTTGTTAGAGTAGCAAAATAACTCAGAAATTAACAGCTGTTTTATATGATTTGACAAAAAAATTGTGATTTGATTTGATATATGTATAACCTGAAAATATATAGTTGAGCGGAAATTCTCTAACTACTTAACACCAATCCTATCTCCGGGTTAGCAAATAAGGAGATCTGGCCCTCCAAGTTGGGGGTTGATCGTAAGGCCAGCAACACTGCATCGGAAAAATTTTACCCCTACGCAACCCTTAGACATGCCTCGGAACAATGGAAGTATACACGTTGACGGACTATGGCGACTAAATTTGGACTTAAGATTTGGAACATGGAACGTATTAATATATTAACGTATTAACACCAGAAGAATATGAATTTGTGAAAAATATAAAAGTCTTAGTAGACACGATTAAAACAATGTTAGATTACTCTTAAAATGTTCGTTTCGGTAACAAAATTTTGGCAGATCGAGAGTAAATGTAGATTAAATCGGGATTTACTAATCGAAAAGCCATTTAAAAAATTGAGTGCTTTATAACTGCACCAAAAACTCGAAATGAAATATATGGGAAGAAAATATTATAGCTTAAAATTACAAAAAAAAAAATCTAGAATATCTTTTTATTAATAATTTTTTAATGGTAATAATATTATGTATTTCAACTAATATTTTAAGAGTCAACTGCTAGGGTTTTGAGTTAAGATATTATAAATTAAATTTTATTGATTAGATTACAATCTTTAATACATTTATATATCAAAAGTATTGCTTTTAGTAGGTTGGTATGTAAGATATTTGAAAATATATTGTTTCGAATAGAATAATGGATTATTGGATTATTGACTATTACTAAACTCTTTATTTACGCTAATGACTATAGTATCTTTTTAAAGATACTATTTTTTGAAAAAATATTAGCTTATTTGCAAACCATATTCAATATACATTTCTTATAACACAGATGGAATATTTTTCTAGTACGCAGCTTGATTGAGAAACACTGTTCTAGATAATAGAAGTGAAAATTATTTTTCTACTATAGAAAACTATAGACATTTTTTAATATCTATTTTATTACATATTCATATAGAGAAATTGTATGAGTTCTTTAGTAATTTTTATTATTCCTTAAAATTCTTAATCTTTGTCTAACTAGCTGATAGGTCGATACTATATGAAATGATCTTATCTATCTGTAATATAATGATATTTTGAAAAGTGAACAAATTATTGTCTTATTAATTAAATAATAGAAAAATTTATATAAAATTCAGCCAAGAAATTATCAATAAATTTTATACAAAATAGAAAAAAATAATACGTTCTCTTATTTTTCTTTATAAATATAACATATTAGTACACAATCTCTTATAAATTAAAATCTCTAAGGGGGGTAATATGCTGTAAAATTGTGCCTCAAAGGTTTATAATTTTAGAATTTTAAAGTTATCTTCGCTTCTGATAGCTTAGACTGACGGACTGATACCTTATGCATGCGCATGTAAATAAGTATTTACATATGTAGATAAAAAATTCACACATTCCTGCTCACGCTGCCATCCTACTCGAAGCGTGTTTAAATGGCAAGAAGGTCAATTGCATTTCGTTGGCAGTTCATTAATTTCATTTTTCTCTCATTTTATTTTAACATGAACAATAAATTAAATTTTATCTTTGTTTGCTTTTGCTAATTGCGAACTTCTGTATTCTTCCCACAAGCCAAATATTTTCATTTTTTTTTTCTTCGTTGGATTATGTTAATAATACTCAAACATATTAACAAAGAAAATATATATGAAATAAACTATATCATATATATGTATTATATATAATTACACCCAGTTATCATTTAAAAAAAGATTAACTATTATCTCTTTTAAAGGTGTAGCGTTCTAGTGTTAACAGTCAATCGAAGATCGAACATAAAATAGTTTATCATCAAAAATTGTTTAAAATATTGGATTTAAAGATGGTCAGATTTAAACTTTGTTAAATTATATTTTTACTAATTTTAATAGTTAGATTTGATTTAATAAAATCTAATAATATTAGAGGGCTGTTTAAAGCACGGTTCAGGGGCTAGATGCGGCCCACGGCTAATATATGTGTGGAAACATGTCGCGGGCCACACATATATTATTAATTATTTCTAGTAAAATTACATTATTTTATTTTTATGGTATCACAATAAAATTAATTCAAATGAATAATAAAAGTAAATTTAACATTACCACCGTATTTTTATTTTTTATTCAAAAAAAAAAAACCGTGGACGTATATACTTGTTTCTGCGGCCCTCCAATCTGCACAGTAATATGTGTTGGCTTGCAAACGTAACTAAATAATAATCTTCATTCTATCCATTGGATCCTATTTCAACATATGGTACAATCAGCTCAGTAATTGCTTTTCAACATAAGATTAGTTAAGCACTATACGGATTTTACCTTACCTATGAGTCCTATAGTTCAGATCATATATACCATTCTAAAAAATTTTCTTTATATACGAGAAGTAGCTGTAGCTCTTTATTATAATTATTACCATTCTTTTTCCTTTTTCTATACGAAAAATGTTTCTTCAGTAATAACAATGTATATATTAGCTTTCATCTATATATACTTCTAGAGAATTCAATTAATGTTCTTAATACTAATTAGCGCTATAATATATATAAATAAATTTTACTTTTTTCTTCATACTATTATTTGACTTGTAATGAAAATTTGCTAATATAACTTAACAAGCTATGTAAATTCATGGCTAACATATGTTAGTGTAAATTCTAAGTATCATCAAATCTTACATAATTATTTTTTTATTAGTTACACTTTACCTACTACATACCTAATTGCTGCCAGGTCTAATGACTTTTTTAGTACGCTGTGTATTACTTGTAACCTTGATTTTAAAGACATACTCCTGCTTAATTCTAAATTCCAAAATTTTTAGCTGCTTGACTTATTCATTTATTTAGATACATTAAGGGAATCCCTCTATATTACACAGTCTTAAAGCTAACTTATAGTACTAGTTAATTTGTTCAAGACTTTATAATTTGTTTGTTGTCAAAAAATATGTATAAATTTTAATTCTATTTTGATCAGCTGCTATGTGAGGCCTAGACTATCACTTGAAGATCTTATAGCTTTCATTAGCAATAGGATTACTAGCATAATATTTGAACACCCTATTATTTTATAAACTTGCACAGATATTTTCTTCTTCATATACTCTCTCTTCAAATGTTACAATAATTTGTTAAAGGTATAGTTCTGATGGCTTATTGCTTTTAAATATAAACACTAGTCCTTGTTTTTTATAAGAATCATTGCAGAAATCCTTCTTGCAAACTATTTGCTATTTTTTTAATATAAAGTTAAGAATGCTCACAAGTTTATTGTTGTAAGCATTTAAAATTTCAGTACTGGAACGATTTCGTGTATTAAGATATTGACGGCAATTAATATCTCCTCTCAGGAACATATGTGCTACAGTTCATAATCTGTAATTTGGTATATTCAGTTTCTTAACTTAATAGTAAGTGGAATGATAATTATGATCCATTGAACAGTTCATTATCATTAGCAATAATTAGTGATAATGAGCACAAAGATTCCCGATATCAAGTTCCTAACTAGCACTTATCAGTATAAGAGTTTGAGCGATTAACACTCCTTCGGAATCAAACCGATAAGCTATATTGTTATGTTGAAGCTGTTTTGAGTTCGTGCACTTAAGCACTTATACGCTTTTTTAACTCGAGGTATTTTCAAAACCCCTCTTTACATCTTGACTAGATTATTGTTTATCACTTCATCAGACTAAGCAATAATTGACCTCAGATCTGCATACCTCCCCGAGGAGCCTGTAACCATTTTGAGTTTTGATAACGCGGTGTTGGTAAGTCTATCAGTTATAAGCTATATGTTAACAAATATATAAATGATGTGATTATCTGTATTAAAAACTGGTTGTACATTACTGCATGGCGGAAAGAAGGATCTGTTAGGGTTTCAAAATTTTTAAGGTGACTTATTTTTTTGACAATGAAATATTTCTTTACGATTTTAGCTATTTTACTAATCAGAAGGTCTAGTGCTGACCGTATGATGAAATTTTCTCATATCAAAAATAATAAAAACTAAATATATAAATATATAATAAATATAATAATATATATAATATATATATATAAATATAAAATAAATAATAAAAACATAAAAGGTCATTGGTCATGATAGTCTAAATAAATATATATATTATATTTTTTTGAATTCTTGCATCGATATAAACTATTCGATCTTTTATCGAAGAAAATCGAACGGCCTCTAAGCCTCTCTTGAAAGGTTTTTTGGATATAGATCTGGCCTGTAATCAAATTAAAGTATTCTAAATAAAGAAATCTAAAATTCAATATTAAAACATTCCTGAAGGCATAACAAGAATTAATACTTTTTTATGGAAATTTTTTTTAATACGAAAAAGGTTGGAAGTGTTGATGTTTCTAGTCAGTATCAAGGAATTGAGATCAATAATTAAATCAAATAATGATTGTCCCTTTAAGAAAACACATTAATTTCCTTATGTATAAAAGATACAATATGTGTTTATATCCATTAGGTATGAAATATTCAACAAAATCTTTGGAAAATTTTTTGAAAATAAATCTTTATAAAATAATATAAAATATTTATTATATATAATCGA